GTATTAAGGAGCAATACACGATCTCCATTTCTCTCAGCGAAATAGAGAATTGTTTTGCTTAGTAGCCTTCACCCGGACATGTTGTAATCTCGGAGTTGATACAGAAATGTGGAGTGCCCATTCCACTTCACTTGGTCATATGAGAGGTGCTTGATTACTTTGGGATAGTTCCGTTCCAACTAAGCCCGAACTCGTACCATCAAGCCATTGGAATGTACATCACATTCCAAGAGAACGAACTAGCCGATCTCTCAATTCCTAAGCTCGCCTATGTATGATCCCTAAAGCAAGGTAGGAAAAATTCATGTACTATCTCTCCAAACACACACCAAAGAGCTCCAGAGGGACAATCGGCGCCCCAAGCAACGTTAAGGACTAGGAGTCTAAGTACTTTTTTAGAACCTAGAGTTTGCTCATTTAAGGATGCGAGTAGGTGTCTTTTCATTTTTCATTGACTGTTGTTTTCCTGCTTTGATGTTTAAACACTTTTCTTATTGTGCTATTAATTATGTGTTGAAACAATGTTTGCTGGTGAACCAATCTCACATACAGACATTTGGCAGACTCCCTAAAGATCCTTGAAACGCGAAAGAACTCATCACAACTGAAAAGCTGAGGAGGTACAGTCTCCTCAGTAAGAACGTAAGTCTTTAAACTTCTCCTGCTACTGCGAGCTCAAGTAAGTCTTCTTCTTTACTTGTGATTAGTTCACTAATTGTTTCTTCTTGGTACTGATCACTTGGTTGTATGTGCAGGAATGATGCTAAAGCCTAAGAAACAATCATTGAACTAATTGCGATTAATTCGATGATTGTTTCTTCTTCGCTGATTGTTTCTTCTTGAGCAGCCTGCTCTCTTGCAATGAGTCGTAGACATGCAGGCTTAGGTATTTGTTCCTTGCTTTCTTTCTTTCATTTTGTTATCTTCAGTTGCTAATTGTTACTTTGTATTTGGTGTAGACATTTTTTCCCATGGCCCTTTTCTTCCAAGGGGCATACTTCTTCTTGGGATAGAACAAATTGGAGAAGGCAGAGGAGGAGATCAAGAATTTAAAGAATGAGTTGGCTATGACTAAGGTTCCATCCGAGGTGGAGAGGAATAGTTTATTCCATCGCCTAAATGAGAAGGACAAGCATATTACTTCTCTCTCCAAATACGTGTATAATCACAAGGTGAAGCTATGTCAGTCGTAAGGAGCGATAGGCAAACTTGAGCTGAAGTTGTAATTGCTCAATGATAAGTTGAGGATCTGCGAGTTGCATGTAGAGCATGTCACTTCTTCCAAGGAAAATTTTGGAAGACGTAAAGAAGTCCCTTGAAAAGAAAAACAAGGCTTTGTAGGAGGCAAGGCAGAGGGCAGCGTCCTTAGAGGGTGACCTTTGAGAGGCAACGCAGAAGATAACGACCTTAGAGGAAGAACTGCAAAATGCTACTAAAGCAACCGAGGACAAGCCAGCCCATATGGCTTTTAATGCCCTGAAGTTTGTTCGAATTGAGTATCCCAAGTTGGACTATTGTTCCTGCCAGAAAAGTATAAAACAGAACTTGACTCCTAGTGGGAAACTTGGAAGAGTTGCGACCTAGAGAGGAGCAAGTGGCGGCTCTTGCTAGTCAAGTCGAGCGGACAACAATGGAATTAGAGGCTACTGCAGAGCCAACAATTAAGGAGGCAATTGTTGAGCCAAGGAACGAGAAGGAAGTTGATTTAGGCGCTGAGTTGATCCCGAAATAGATGGAGAATTAGGGCGTGATGCTCTTAACTTGACTACTATTTTTCTTTTCTGTACATGTATATATTCTTGAACTCTTAAGGCTTTGGTCGCTTGTAATTTTTGACTTGTACTTATAATATTTTTAGCCTCGATGGCTTTTTCATATATTGAATTTATCATCTCATGGACTATGGTGATCTTGTACTGTTGTGGATGTTACGGCTATCTTGTGCTTGAAGCTTGTAAGCTCTTTGTCTAATGACTTTGGTGACCTTGTAAGGGCCTTCTCAGGTGGGGTCAAGTTTGCCAGTGCTCGCTTCCCTGGTGTTTTGGAAGACTTGTCGTAGCACCTAGTCACAGACTTTGAAGACTTTTGTTTCGATGTTCCTGTTGTAATGTTGAGCGACTTTCTACTGATAGGATGTTATTAATAGAAGGGCTCAATCTCGAAGCTCGTCGATGGTGTCAAGGTTGTGGTGGATTTGTTGTTGATTGGAATCTTCATCTTGCCACCTATACCTCGTTGTTGGTACTTCAATTTTAGTGGAATTATGACTTTGAAGTCGTATGTCAGCAAGAAGGCAGTTCACATTCATGAGGTGATTCGATATGACCATAATACTCCTGGCAATTCGTTTGCCCACGTTCCCTTAGCATTCTTTAGTCGTTTCTTCAAAGTGTCAATGATCGTCTTATTGGAAGACTGGGCCTATCTGTTTGCCTGAGGGTAGAGTGGTGTTGAAAAACTTAGCTTGATGCCCAAATCTTTGTAAAAGTCTTGGAACTTAAAGCTAATGAACTATGAGCCATTGTCGGTGACGATCTCTTTAGGTACTCCGAATTGACATATGATGTTTTTGCAGATGAAACTCTTCACTTCACTATCTCAAACTTGGGAGATTGCTTTAGCCTCAATCCACTTTGTGAAATACTCGGTATCTGCGAGCATGTAGACCTATCGTCTTGGAGCAGTCGGTAGCTTCCCAACTATATATATCCCCCACTTCATAAAGGGCCATGAACAGATGATGGAGTTAAGTTGCTCTGGCAGAAGATGTGAGACTTATGCGAACCATTGATAGTTGTTGCATCATTGCATATAATCTATAGAGTCTGATCACATGGTAACCCAATAATATCCCACTGTAAGAGCTTGATGAGCAAGGCTACTACCTCCAACATGGTTGCCACATTCACTTTCATTTAGCTCAGCTAGAACATATTTGGCTTCTTTCAGAGTGATGCACCAGACATAAGGGCCAAAGAAGGACCTCTTTGGTAGTTGACCATCATGGATGGTGAACCTAGTGCTCTGAGTTGATGTGTTTCGTTCTTGTCTGCTGGAAACTTGTCATCCATCAGGTAGTGAAGTACAGAGTCACCATGAGTCGACTGCGTCAATGGCAAACATTTATAATGATGGTTTCTTCCACACCACTAGCCATTAGAGGTAGAGGAGAGGGATCATCTATGGCCTCGTTGTCTAGAAGGCTAAGCCAAGGTTTGCTAATGCATAAGTGTGGTCGTTCTCTGCTTGAGGTACTTGTGTGATAGAAAACTCTTTGAAGGATGACTGGAGCTCCTTGACATGAGTGAGGTAAGCCGTCATCTTAGAGTCTCAAGCTTGATAAGTTCCTTGGAGTTGATTGACCATGAGCTGGGAGTTAGAGCGAACTTTTGTCTCCTAGACTCCTGAGTCCTTAGCAAGTGAGAGGCTGATGAACAATTTTATAACCTCGCAAGTGCACAAATCACTATCATAGTCTAGTGTGCAAAAGCAAAGGTCGATCCCACAAAGTTTTGTAAGCAATTTACTAATCCTAATAACTATGCTTTAATTAAATGTAATAACTAGAATTAATAATAAAGAATTTAGGAAATTCACTTGAAGAGAAACAACTGATTTGTTGGGGATTGGTTAAACCACTTTGGTTTTGCATTACCCATTTTAAAGTGCGGCGGAAAATTACCAAGTTGATTAAGAGATTTCTAGTTTTTAACCACATCAAACAGAAGTGCAGATCGTAAAGAACACAACCATATACATGGTTCGGCTAAATCCACTTTTAGCCTACATCCATGGGACCTTATCCAGATTGAAGCAATCCACTAAGTTAAAAACACATTACAAGATATAGTTCAAAGTTGATCTAAGTTACAGTAAAAAGAACTCCCTATTCAACTTCACACTTAGCACCACACTCTAAATCCTTAATGTGTAGCAACTCCTTGGAGCTTCTTCTCACCGTGAACACACCCAAGAACAGCTTGTAAACCATAAGCTTCAAGCACCGACGCCACACACTAGCATCAGCAAAGGAACCACGTTCCAAGAGCCATCAAGTCTATGTTTGATATGGTGAGGTTTCGGCACAAAAATGGAAAATGAACTGTTATAACTACACACACTAAATCAACCAAAAACAATAGCAAATCACACAGCACAAATCCAACAGAATGCACACACACAACACACCAAGATTTACCATGGTTCACTTGCTCAGTGTGAGCAAGCTACATCCACGTTGAGCTCGAGAACCTAGTGAGCTCGCTGCACTATATTGATCAAGATTACAGTGCACACTTCTTCTCAAGATTAAACCCTTTCCTAATCCTTTCAGAACCCGTAACACCTTAGAGACATAGATCTAGTATCCCAAATACACTGTGAACCCTAGCACCCTCAAGTGGCCTACAAACTAGCCACTCAACTTCCAGTTACAAGATTCAAGATCACAAACAAAACCCAAACCCTAACAGATACAGTTTCGTTTGACAGAGAGAGAAAAACACAAATCGGTTCAATCACGCGATTTGGACTATTTGTCTGCTTTTATACCGTTGACTATCAGACTGCTTTCCCACCGTTGGATCCTCAGCCAGCCAACGAACATGATTGATCTTTACTTGGCTTAAAACGACGTCGCTCCACTTAATGATGAAACGTCACCGTATAAAGCTATCACACTAACAATCTCCACCTTGATGGATTTATTCGTGACTGTAGTGCAGCTCACTCTTCTTTGGATTCTTCATTACTCTGGTCACTCTAGTCTATTGTATGAATAAAAAGTTCAAGCAGTGCTTGAACTTGGTAGGAGTGACTGTCTTGGTGCCCATGTCTGCCAGATTTTCTTCAGTTGATACCTTTAATAGTGTTATCTCTTCTCTTGAGATCAGGTCTCTAACAAAGTAATAGCGCACATCTATGTGCTTGGTTCGTTCATGATACACTGGATTCTTGCTCAAGTGAATTGCGCTCTGACTATTAGAAAAAATTACAGGCCTCTAATTTGTCAATTTCGCTTCACTGAGAATTCCTTTAAAATAGATAGCTTCTTTGAATATGTCAGCCACAGCCACATATTCAGCCTCTATTGTGGATAATGCAACTATCGGTTGTAACTGAGATTTCCAGCTGATGTAGTTTCCACCTAAAGTGAAGTAGTACACAGTGGTTGATTTTCTGGTGTCCTTGTCACCTGCAAAATCAGCATCTACAAAACCAACCAACTCAAGTGAAGTAGTCCTTTTACAGTAATACAACCCAGCATTTAATGTAGCATTTACGTATTTAAGAACCCATTTTAAGGCAATCCAGTGTTCCATACCAGGGTTTGACATATACCTACTGAGTAAGGATATTGCAAAGGCTAAGTCAGGCCTAGTGCTAATCATGGCATACATTAGGGATCCTATCACATTTGCATATGGTATATGTTCCATCCTAATCTGTTTAGATTCAGTACTAGGGCATTGTGACTTACTCAATGTGAAATGACTGGCCAGTGGCATAGTAACAGGTTTTGCACCTGCCATTCCAAATTTTTCTACTAATTTGTGCAAATATGAACATGGTGCACTCTCAGCTCAAATTTATTCCTATTTCTGTCAATTTGCATGCCTAGGATCTTCTTTGCATCCCTAAATCTTTCATTTTGAACTCAGCACTAAGTTTTTTCTTCAATACACAAATCAAGGACCTAGACTTGCTAATTATTAACATGTCATCCACATACAATAGTAAGTACGCAGAAAGATTACCATTTAGGGCAAAGTAGAAGCAATTATCGTATTTACTCCTAATGAAACCTATACTCAGAATGAATGTGTCAAATATTTGATACCATTGCCTAGGGGATTGTTTTAGGCCGTACAAAGACTTAAGAAGAAGGCAGATATGGTTAGGGTCTTTGGATCTATGAACCCTATAGGCTGGCTCATGTAGATCTCTTCCTCAAGATCCCCTGAAGGAAAGCAGTGGCTATATCTAGTTGTTCAAGTTCTAAATCAAGGTGAGCTACTATGGAAAGCATTAACCTAATCGTTTTATACTTGACTATTAGGGAAAAGACTTCATTGAAGTCTATTCCCCTCTCTTTGGGTAAAGCCCTTGGCTAATAATGTAGCCTTATACCTGAGGGGTTCTCTGGTTGATATGCCATCCTTCAATTTGAACAACCATTTGCATTGCATTACCTTCTGTTCTTTTGGCTTTGGTACTAGAACCCAGGTTTTGTTTACCTTCAGAGACTTCATCTCAGCTTCCATGGCAGCCCTCCATTTGTCCCTTTCCTTAGAGTTTACTGCTTCATCATATGTTTCTGGTTCGATTCTCAGCAATTCAGTACCTACAAGAAGGGCAGTATAAATGAGGTCAGCATATGAAAACCTTGTGGGAATTCTTACTTGTCTCCTAGCCCTATCTCTTGCAAGTTGGTAGTCTTGCAAGTTTTCAGGCTGAGTTTCAGTATCTTCGGCTGTTTCTATCTCATCCTCTTGTTCTAGATTAGAATGTCCAATTTCTCCTCCATGTTTAGGAACAGCTTCAGTTTTCTGGATAGTTTCAGTTTCTTGCAATGGTTGGGGTTGGGCAGGAAGCTCCACCTAAATTTTTGTAGTCTCAGGCTGACTAGAACTGTCCTTTGAACTTGAGGTAGGAGCTACATCAGGATTAGTACCTTTACAGGGAAAAACACCCTCATTTAAAATCACATCTCTGCTTACTACAATTTTAACTCTAGGGAACTACTTGTCCCACAGCCTGTACCCTTTTGTTCCTTCTTGGTATCCTAAGAAGACACACTTTGTAGACCTTGGTTCAAGCTTTCCTCCAACAGTATGTGCATATGCAGTACAACCAAATACTCTTAAGTGTCTCAAATCAGGTCTTCTTCTTGTCCACATCACTTCTGGGCAGTGGAAGGGCTTCTGTTTATCAGGTAGGTTAAGGTGGTTAGGGATTCTCCCCAAAAGGAGGTGGGGAGTTTGGAGGTGACAAGCATGCATCTCACTTTATCCAGGAGGGTTCTGTTCATTCTCTCAACCACCCCATTCTATTGAGGGGTGTATTTCACAGTCTTATTCCTCAAGATCCCTTGATCACTACAGAATTTATCAAACTCTTGGTTGCAGAACTCTAACCCATTATCAATTTTGAGAACTTTAACCCTCTTATTCATCTGATTTTCAACTAAGAGTTTCCACTCCTTAAACCTTTCTAAGGCTTGATCCGTAGTCTTTAATAGGTAAACCCAAACCTTTCAATTGTAATCATCTACTAAAGACTTAAAGTAACTATTTCCCCCAAAGGTCTTAACCCTCCCAGGTCCCCACAGGTCAGAATGAATGTATTCAAGTTAACTAGTGGCTTGGTGTACTCCCTTTTGGAAACTGTTTCTATGTTGTTTTCCTAATATGCAATTTTCACAAAACTCTAGTGAAGAGACCTTATTATTTCCAAACTGACCTTGACTGTTTAGGATATCCATTCCTCTTTGACTCATGTGACCTAATCTAAGATGCCACTTTTCTGCATTTGACAGGTTGGTAGACTTAAGCACAAAGTTAAAACAATTTAAACAGAGTATGTAAAGCCCATTCTTTTTCTCTCCTTTTAGGATTAGGTTTCTATTTTTGTATATATTCAGGCATCCATTCTCTGCCTTATAGCTATAGCCTGATTCATCTAGGGTACCTAGAGATATTAGGTTTCTTTTCAGTTCTAGGATGTACCTAACTCTTGTGAGTTTAACCAGTTTACCAGTGTTAAGACTTAGAGTTATGGAGCCAATTCCTCTAACCCTACATGCATTATTGTTCCCCATATAAACAGTTTCTGAATCAGTGACTTCAAATTCCTGGAACCAGTTTCTGTTTGGGCTCATATGGAAAGAGCACCCTAAGTCCAACACCCACTCATTAGCTTTGTCAGACATTGACATTGTAAGCACCTCAGGTTCATCTACCAGGTTTTTGGTGGTGGCTAGGTTGTTCTCTGTGTTCCCTTGTTTTTGCTTTTTGATCCATTCAAAACAATTCTTTTTAATGTGACCAGCCTTATTACAGAAAAAACATTTTCTAGTTTCTTTATTCTTATTATTACCCTTCCATTTTTTCTTATTTTTATTCCCCTGATGCATAGGATTACTCTTCCCAGTCTGACTAGACTCTACCTTGGTTTTAACAAACAGGTTTGATCCATTTATTTTCTGGACTTTCAATTCTAACTCTCTAGCCTTAAGACCTACAACTATTACATCTAGGTTTGGTACAGTACCAGAGTACTGTAATACATTTTTGACTACCTGGTAGTCTTCTGGCAGTGAGTTCAAAAGGATCATTGCAAGGCTAGTATTCCTTAATTCTTCATCTGTTCCGTTTAGGATCAGAGTCATTTTTAGGAATTCATCTAAATTATCTTCTATACTCCTAGAACTATCCATTTTGTATGAAAATAAAGTGCCCTTCAGAAAAGCTAAATTTGGGGCAGACTGTATAGCATACAAGGTGTTGAGTTTACCCCATAATTCCAATGGTGATTCGATCCCATCTACCTTTCTGAGAACACTGTCGGACAGATTCAAGACTATCAGGTTGTAAGCCTCTTCATTGATCTCCTCCTTTTTTTTCAGTTTTTCCTCTGGCCACTTCTTGATGTCATCTTCCAGTGCGATTGCCACCTTATTGTGGGATAGCAGTGCCCTTATCTGTTTCTTCCAACTCCCAAAGTCAATCTTCCCATCATATTGGGAGATTTCCATTCGGGTGGAGGTGTTTGACATGGTGAGTGTTTAGATTTTGGTTGAAAAGGTTGCAGATTCAAGAATTTTGACTCGTTCTTGAATTTCAAGAAACCAAGAAAAGAAACCCTAGATTTCTACTATATATGAAATCTAAGCCCGTTCGACTTGGAACCTATGCTACGAACCCTCAATTTTGATTTGAAACCCAAAATTGAGAAATCCCCAATTTTGGTTGAAAAACCCTAAAAAATTTGAGAAACCCTAAAATTTCAGATCAAAAAATTAGACTCTGATTTCTTCTCTCTCAATCCTCTTTCCTACACTCTGATACCACTGTTATAACTACGCACACTAAATCAACCAAAAATAACAGCAAATCACACAGCACAAATCCAACAGAATACACAGACACAACACACCAAGATTTACCGTGGTTCACTTGCTTAGTGTGAGCAAGCTACGTCCACGTTGAGCTCGAGAACCCAACGAGCTCGCTGCACTACATTGATCAAGATTACAGTACACACTTCTTCTCAAGATTAAACCCTTTCCCAATCCTTTCAGAACCCGTAACACCCTAGAAACACAAATCTAGTATCCCAAATACACTATCAATCCTAGCACCTTCAAGTGGCCTGCAAACCAGCCACTCAACTTCCAGTTACAAGATTCAAGATCAAAAACAAAACCCAAACCCTAACAGATACAGTTTTGTTTGACAGAGAAGAGAAAAACACAAATTGGTTCAATCGCACGATTTAGACTGTTTGTCTGCTTTTATACCGTTGACTATCAGACTGCTTTCCCACCGTTGGATCCTCAGCTAGCCAACGAATAGGATTGATCTTTACTTGGCTTAAAACGACGTTGCTCCACTTAATGATGAAATGTCATCGTATAAAGCCATCACACTAACATGAACCTTGAACCTTAAGAGAAAGAATACTCTAAGAAATTCAAATTAAGAATGAAATAAAAGATCAAAATGTTAGATTTATTTACTCAAGAAAGAGTATTATATAATGAAGGATTTCTTGCTCAACAATATAATGTCACATCAGCCAACAAGAGGTTGACCAATGTTTGTCCAAATAAGGAAAGTATTCATTCTTTTTTGTTTGGACCACAAAACAAATCGGGAAAGATAACTTATTCCTTAAGACCACTTAAGGATATTATGACACATTTAAAAGGTCCTAAATATCAAGAGACAAAGATAAACAATATCTTTTTCACTTTATTAGACATGCAACTCATGTTGGGTTGCAAAATATTTGAAGCAAGAGTGTAAGCACAGACCATTGTGCACACACACTCGAAACAAAATAAGCCAAGACGCAAGTCTAGCAAACAGTGTGTACTAAGAACTGATGTGCACACACACAACATATGAAACAAGCCAAATAAAAGGATTGATAGCTAGTGTGCACAACACAACTCATAAGTTTTACAAAAATGAATATTCTACGCAAACAACTTCCAGCAAGAGAGAAGAATATAAATTAAATAAATGCGCCAGTGTAACACATGGTCCCTTAACTTATACTAGCTACTTGACTTGTTACATGCACAGCTTTTCTTTTGGATACGGGTTGACTTCTGCTCTTCTCTAATCTCGGATGCTTCTTGGCTATATTTCAAGTGTCCAGATTTATGGAATGATCATGAATTAGCAGTACTATTTAATTAATTAATTAAGCATAATATTAAAGCATACGACATGTAGTAAATTACAATTCATTTTTATTGTATATACACGCCAACGGCATCATGGCATCGGCGTATTGCAACTGC